TATATATATATATATATATATATATATCTTAATTAAAATTATATATATTTCAAAAAAAAGTCCAGCTTTTCACTTCTGGTGCCCCCTTCTCTCTTATCTATATTCTACCAGCATCGTGTCCACAACAATAATAATTTTTCACGAGAGAGTCTTTTTTTCAACTACATTCTTCCTAGGGGAACGACACTTCCGGTGTCCCTCACCCACTGACTCTCAGGGCGGGGGTCATTCAAATGCGTGTTAGTGGAATCAGAGTCCTGACAACAAACTTCTGATCAGAATGTTTTGAATTACAGCATATAAAATTTTCAGCCAATTTCACAGAGAAATAACATCCATAAGATTTGTGTGGGCTTCCTTTCTGTTTCTGAAGAAAAAAGTGCTAACTAAACAAGACCACAATTACTGAAATCTCGATGGACAAAACAGCGAATGCTGAAATTTTGGTACACATTTGGGTTCTTATTATTGACCGTATAATATTAGATAGATGCATACAGCGTGGTAGTCCTTAAACTTTAAAACAGCATTGCTCGGAATACCAGGCGAGTATTTACTGTAAATTATACCTAAAGTGTGTACCTCATGGTTATGGTATGCTTGTTTTAGACCTATTCATAGTAGTTAACTTTCTTTAATTCGCGATTTCGCCTATGCTTTCCATAAGTGACATATGCGTAATTATCCATACATGTTGCATATTCTTGAAGTGCTTTTTTCAAGTCCGAGTGATTAACATAGGGTATGCACCAAAGGACATAGATACTCGTTAATGCCACAATTCTGACGGTATCAAGTGGTTTTTCTTATTACTAGCGTACTTTTTCTTTAAGCAGAAAATTTAAGTATTACTTCACCCTTTTTAAAGGACTCTTTAATCTAATTTAGAATATTAAAAAAATACAAAATAACTTTCTACTGAGGAGCTTTAGTTTTGCAAGTAAGACTCTTTAAATTTTACTGTTGCAGAGCTTTCGTTTCACCATTTAAATTTATTAAATTTTACAATTAAAGACTTTAAACGTTTCAGATGAAGAGCTTTAGTTTCACAATTTTAGAAACAAGTCTCATTATTAACCGTATTTCAATTTTACACTTAAGAAGCATTGACTTCATCATAGAGCTTCATTTATACTATTGAAACATATAGTTTTGCCTTTGAAAACGCAAGTTATGCCATTAACCTTGGTCCACTAGTTTCACTATTAGTCCTCTGTTTTGTTTAGATTAGTTTTAATTTTATAATTGAAAAATTTAATATTAACAGTGAAAGCGCAGGTTTTCAATTTTATAACATAGTAACATTACGAACAGTAGAACTTTAATATTACCATTATGAAGATTTAATTATGAAACAAAAAAGCTTACAGTTAACAAATGAAAATCCAAGTTACATTATGGATTGCCTTGCGAGACTGCGGAAACTAGAACGCTAACTGAGACCCTTTCATAACTGTATTTGCTATAAATTTTAAAAGAGTAAGTAGAAATATTATTTTTTTTAAAAGTCTTTTGCACTCTTTTATAATTCTACTTTGTCTTTAACCCTTACCGGTGTAGTGTAGCTAGTCAGACCACACTAATTTAGCGAATGTAACAAACCACTAGAAATATAAAACTAATTGCTTTTAAACATTTAGCAATCACTATTCTTTAAACTACGAAGAGTTAAAGTATGTCGCTTCACTTAGAATGCGCTGTCTAAGGTCACACTTTCTAATGTACTGCCTGACTTAAAACTTTCAATCAAAAATTGCTGCTCCGGAAGATATTTTCCAATCCAACTGCTTTTAACGACCTGCTTTTCTAGTTAACATTTTCTTAAATAGAGAAAATGCAACTCTTGATTTTTTTCTTAGTTTGGTAACAAATTTTAAAAGAAACAAACGCGCTCGCATTACAATTGTAACCAACTGCAGCTAAAAAGATGGCGGTAGTTAAAAGCCGCTGGATTGTAAATTAGTGTTCGGGAAAGGGTTATGAGATATTTTTTATTTTATTATTAGGCGGTGTGCTACTCGAAGACAACCCGTGGAATTGCAGTTGTGAGCTGTTGTGGTTAGGTCGATGGATGAGACGGTGGTTAAGAGAAACATTCCACGTTCATATGCTGAGTGTCGAAGCGGCCATATACGTCAACACAGTTTCCAGAAAGGCCACGTGTTCAATTCAAGGGACTAACACCTCCATCGCTATCGTCGATTTGAGAAAATCGAATGTCAACTGCGAGGCTGTAACGAGCGCAGCGTCTTGTGTCTGTGGTACACTAGGATCAGTAGTGGCATGTTTGCTCACAATGTTTACCTTGCTCAATTACTGCAAGTCTTGTCTCACAATATAAGGTGTTCATATCATGATTTAAGTTGCAATGTTATCACTTAACTGAATGTGAAATGAAATAAAAGTATTATTGATGACGTCAGAATCACGCACTTGATTTCATTTAAAACTAATGTCTGTTGAATGAAAATGGTACTTCATGACACGCAAGCAATAATAAAGTATAATTTTATGTACCGACGAAACTGTACGATATTGAGAGTATGAAGGGATAAAAGAATCTATGAAGCTAATAATATAAAAGGAGGTAAGATTGTGTGTTTACTTAAGGAAGATAAACTCCCAGGAATGAGAATTGATGTAAAGTGAATTAGGGTAATTTTAGTTTCGATTTAATTTAGTTAAAAATAATCGTCATATTAAATTATTTGAATTTCGTTCTTCAAAGCATACATCCATAAATATTCCAAAAAAATTACCAATAATTTTAAAAATCAAAGAAAAACACAAGACATTGAAAATGTGCGGTTGCTTTGACGAATATAAAATCTCATTCAAGTACCGAAGTTAATAAACGTCATCTGTTATAATACTTTGTAACTAATTGAATCCCTAATGATCGCACAATTTTGAAAAAAAAGAAAGAAAAAAAGGTCGGAAAAATGTCTATTTTTTTTCAAGACTATATTAAACTACGTGTATGTGTAACATATATGTCTTCATTTTCATTTTTGGGTTAATTTTAAGCTTACATGTTCGATGACATATAGTTCAAAATAAATTTACTATTTCTAAACACATTACAAATACGTAGTCTGACACTGTCATTTGGTGTATAGATTGAGTAATAAACATGATTCCGGGCTAGAGAAATAAACTGCTGTTTGTAGAAAATGCAACACCATGAAGGAATCATCAGAATCAAATGAAATTCGCAGCAAATGTCAATTATAGGATATTATGCAAATTAATAAAGTTTCAGAGCCATCGCGCGTGCGTGGCGCGCGCAGCGCCCTCTGAATTGATGCTGAAAGCGTATAAATAAAGTGCTGTAGCGGGACGTTGAAAATAGTCTATGATTATTTGTTAGTGGCAAACGTTTAGTGAGACCTGAGTATGCCTCCACGACGGAAGAATAAGAAATTCAAGCAACTTACGGAGTTTGAACGAGGGAGGATAATCGGCCTTCGAGAAGGAGGATTTTCCTATCGCGCAATAGCAGCTCGTATGCAGCGGAACAGTTCCACAGTGATGCGAGTTTGGAAGCAGTGGACCGACGAGCACCGAACAACTCGAAAAACAGGCACTGGACGACAGAAGGTGACGTCAGAGCGCGATGATCGACACCTGCTCCGCATGGCGGTGAATGATCGCACAGCTTCCTCCAGGCAGCTGGCAGCACATTGGTCTACTGCTACAGGTGTACAATTGTCGGCTTCGTCAATTCGTCGTCGTCTGCTGCGCCGTGGATTGCGTGCAAGGGTGCCATTATACAGGATTCCCCTCACGGCGGATCATCGACGGCTGCGTCGGCAGTGGGCTCTTGAGCACAGAGACTGGCGAGCTGATTGGCACCAAGTTGTCTTTTCAGATGAATCACGCTTCAATTTGTGGACCCATGATGGCCGTGTTCGTGTTAGACGTTATGCCGGTCAACGCTGCCTTCCTGAGTGTATTATTGAACGACATAGTGGTCGAACACCCGGAGTTATGGTCTGGGGTGCGATTTCGTATCATGGACGATCCAATTTGATACGAATTGAGGGTAATCTCAATAGCAACAGATACGTCCGTGAAGTGCTACAGCCCGAAGTCGTTCCTTTCCTTCAAGGCATCCCTGGAGCTATCTTTCAGCAGGATAATGCACGCCCACATGTTGCGCGGACTGTTAGAGACTTCTGTTCAGCACAACGCATGCAACTTCTTCCTTGGCCTGCTTATTCGCCGGATATGTCGCCTATTGAGCACGTGTGGGATATGGTTGGTCGGCGTCTCACTCGTGATCCGCGTCCTGCAGTTTCCAAAGACGAACTTTGGTTGCGCATACAAGCGATATGGAATTCTCTTCCTCAAGCAGATATTCAACATCTGTTTGACTCCATGCCACGTCGTATAGCAGCACTTATTGCAGCGCGTGGTGGCTGCACCAAATACTGATTTCGGACGCTTAATTTGTTTCTTTTGTTTTGAAAATTTCATCATTTATTTGTATCAGTACAAGTCGTTTCTGCATTAAATTTCATTTGATTCTGATGATTCTTTCATGGTGTTGCATTTTCTACAAACAGCAGTTTAGATTGTTTTATCCTTTTTGGAGCACACCAACCCGGAAATATCACTACCTTTTACATGGACAAGATGGTGCAGTCTAAAGACAAAAATAACAGAAAAACAAAAATTTCTGCTCCAATGGTTTTTTCATGCAACAGAATACATTGTTTAATATAATTTCCAGTCAGTAACCTCCGTAAGGTGATGAATTTTATTAGTAAATTGAAAATCTTGTAAGAGTAAATTTTATTAATTGTTACGCAGAGCATCGCAGACTAAAGATTTCTATCTGCTACAATTTTTTTTCTTTAATTGATTTCTAAAGTAGTCTAACTTTCAGGGTTTTCATTTTATTAAAACACCAGGCCTTCTTTAAAATGGAATCATTGCAGCGTTCATAAATTTTTTGATAAAAAATGTTAAGATAAAAGAATTTTAATATTTTTAATAGGCGATAGTTTTACATCATTGTTTCCAGATTACAAATGGAACAATCACTGTTCCTCAAGTCCCACAGTGGACAGATCGCAAAGACACGGCTCCCAGTAGAACATGCATCACTGACTGCGGTCAGTAAGCGGATGGGTGACCACTTTGGATAAGCCTGTGTAGGGACCAAGGGTGCGCGGTATCAGTCCTCGCTAAACTCTTCTACCATAAAATGCTCGACTTTGCTCGCAGGTCGTCCACTGCAGGAGAGCCATCCCCCATGCAGTGGATCATTATTGCAGTGGAATGTATTCGGATCATCCTCAGGGATGTTTCTCAGACCGTCGCCAATAGCCCATTGTGCAGATCTAGTCTGACGTAAATAAAGTACCAACCTACTAACCAAGTGTTCCTCAATTTTGTTTCCAGATAGATTCTTCACAAGTTTCCCAAAGATTACATCAACAAACTGTACCATAAACAGAAACACTTAATTGCCTGCTTGTAAACCGTGATGTCTTTCAATAAAAACACTTATCGTTATATTACCCCAAGTGCTTTAACTGAAACAAATGTTGAATTTATTCTGGCATTTCAAATTCCAGAAGTAAATATAAATAGCAACGTATACCGCAAGCTAAAAACTAATCCAATAACAGTAAAAGCTAATTACACCCCATCTTATTTCGCTGTCATCTATTTAATGAAACGCTATTAACTATTACGTACAGAACAAGGGAAATTGGCAACGGCTAATTTGCGGTTCTCCTTAAAGGTTCACTAATGTTCTTTGTCACTGAATGATTCAATAAATATGAGATTCTTGTTTTTCTTTCCCTTTCTTAAGTATCGCTTAGGAATGTTTATTGATTTTCGTATTATTTGTTGGCACGCAGGGGAACTTTAAGAAGAGCCTTTAAAGGCATTTATATTCTGTTGCAAGTTAAGAATAAAACATTTTCCCTATTGAAAGAGCCAGTTAGTTTCTAAGTGCACGCCAAAGGGATGACAAGCTCCCAGCGCAAACTTATATCAACATCGTCAACTCTTGAAACAACAATGCACAGTATTCTTTTTTTGCTTGCTTTCTTATCAATCAATTGGATAACAGTAAGTGACGTAGAGTGGGTATCTCGATCCTGATTGGTTGTTGAAACGTGGCATCTGTTTACGTTATTAAATGTTCTTTCCATTCTATTTCGAGTAAACCAAACCCGTCAAGCATTAATTCTCTTAAGTGACACATTCTATATTCTTACACAAAGATGCCTTTACAAACATTCCATTTCTTTCACTATATATTTGTGAATTGTCTCAAAGACAAGCATGAAGAAGCCATGGGGAACATAAGCAAACTAATTATGCATCGAAGTTGCCAGGTACACAAAACTAAAATATCTCACGGTTACAATAAAATACATCAACAAACAATAAATCAAAGTGAAGTAAAAGACGCAGAAGAGAAAGAATTTATATTCCAATAAATTCGATGTGCGATACGGCGCTGTATTTAATTAAGGGACTGACGTGTTTAAGAAAATGGAACTACATACACTGGTGGATGAGTGCTTAAATCCTATGCTGCAATGATATTTTTTTTAAAATCTGCAACAGAGTAGGGTAAACTGACCAGTGAAGGAACATTTAAGCTTCGCTTGCCTTTTAAAAAATCATATTAATTTTAAAATTCGTAATTTTAGTTAAATGACAGTGTCAACATATTTGTTTCTAATTGCAAATTATGTAAAAAAATTGTAGAGAACTTACATAATATTGTTTTAATGTTTTGGAGGTTCAAATAACAAGTAGAAAGAAGACCAAGTGAAGGAACAGCTCTTACCAGTGAATGAACAACCAGTAAAGGAACACTTAATTTTGGTTATTTTTTAATACTCTTTAGGAATTTATAAGCCATACAAATATTTAAAAGCAAGCCTATTCTTGAAATTATAACATATAAATACATGGAAAATGTAAACTTTTTTTTGTAATCATGAATTGAAAATTAAAATGTCAACATATTAACACATACTGTTCATTCACTGGGAAATCTATGCCCAGTAAAGTAACATGCCTGTTCCCTCACTTGTTAGAAATTGTTTTTCGTTTTTTTAACATACTTTTGATGCGGAACATCATTAAAGGTACAAGAAAATTAAAGTTTATCTTTTATTTTCATTAGCTTAGAAAAAAAACCCAGTAAAGGAACACTTGTTCCTTCACTGGTTTTTCATCGTTTGGTGATCCAGTAAATAAACACCCCCTTATCTCAGTAGTTTATTATACTATGATGCTTAAAAAATAAACCGTAACTTCAATAACTATATTTTGAATTCTCTATTTCACAGTGAGAAAGTTCCGCAGTGGACTGATCGTTAAGACACAATTCCCAGCAGATCACCGAAGTCAAGCATCACTGGCTGCGTTCAGTGTGCGGGTGAGTGA